ATAAGAATATTGATTTATATTTTTGTTTCAATATTAACTTAATTTTGTTAGATAAAATAAATAATTCTTTTTTAGGGATGCAATGAAGAATAGGGGTGTTTGGGGAATATCTCACACAAGAGTGCCTACCGAATCAAGACCAGGACACGTTGCAATCGCTGCAGGATTGTACGAAGATCCTAGTGCCATTTTCAAAGGATGGCAAGAGAATCCAGTTGACTTTGATTCTGTCTTCAATCAAAGTCATACAACTTGGGCTTGGGGCAGTCCAGATATAATACCACTGTTCACAAAAGGTATTCTAAAAGAAAGGTGCAAGAGTATCGATATTCATTATTTCTCACGCTTATTTTGACATTTTGAAAAGTTAGGTAGCAAACACAATGTTTATGGACAAAGTTATCCATCTGCGTGGCAGGATTTTGATACAAAATTGAGTAATCAAACAAGACGTCTGGACTCCTGGGTGTTTGATGCTTATTTGAAATGGCTACAATCTTCAGTAGCCGAGACAGTCATAAATCAAAATCGAATTATCCTGTTCTTTCATCTGCTTGGATGTGATACTTTGGGGCATACTAAAAAACCAAATTCCAGGTATCCGAATTATTTTAAACTATTGATTACTGTTGTTTTGAAAGTACAGAATTAAAAAGGAAATTTTGAGATTAGAGAGTATGTGGACAATATGAATTATGTCGATAAGAGGATTGAAGAGGCTGTGAATGCGACAGAAGATTTTTTTGAGAAGGGCACTACCGCTTATATATTCACATCGGATCACGGAATGACCGATTGGGGATCTCATGGAAGTGGTTTGCCATCTGAAACTGAAACGCCTTTAATCACTTGGGGAGCAGGAGTAAAATCGTCTGGCTTTCGTCAAGACGTTGAACAAGCGAGTATAACTCCCTTGATAGCATCCCTAATAGGAATTCCTATTCCTATAAATAATGAAGTTAGTATTTATGTCATATTAAGATCAAATTTATATACTATATATGTACCCATATATTGTATAAAATATTTATTCGTAAAATACTTTTTTAGGGTGCACTACCGTGGCAATATTTCAATTTGGATTATCGTGAATATGTCGCTCATTCTTTAATCAGCAATGTGAAACAACTAATGCATCAAATAACAGAAAATCGTGTGATAAGTTGTCAAGATAGTGATTATACTGATTGGCGAGAGACACAGATAAATGATAAAATTCGTAAAGCCCAACAACATATCAGTAAAAGAAATATAATGGCAGGAATTCGAGAGGGCAATGATGCAATTAGTTTGAGCAAGGAAGCCTTGTTGTATTTTAGACAATATCAACGTATACGATTTTTAATATATTTGTCAATAATGTGGCTTAGCTGGATAGTTATATTATTCTTCAAAATAGCTGGAGCA